GATTGGCCCTGGAAAGGGAACGTCCTGGAGCAAGAAGGGAAATAGGGCAAGGCTTTGCCTTGAGGCTCTCCCACATTAAATTGTTGGATGGAGGAGAGGGAGATCACATAGTTGAATGTCCTGCCACAAGACACAAAGAGCTCAACAAATACTTGTTGAATGAATAAGTGCATGAATGAATGAAGCTTTTCTCAGATTACAGAACTTGGAAATGATATACCTGACTCAAATACTGGACATCCTCAGTTCTCTGCTCTTCCCCTCAGCCCACAATGATTTGAAGGACCAAAACCATACTTCCAGAGAGGGTACCCTTCTTCAAGGAGGTTGGGTTGAGCTGACATTTCACAGGAAGGCTTTTGGAGAGAGGATTGAGATTCTGGTTGTGGTTAATGACTGCCAAAGACTTGGAATGGAATATGACGGTAGTATGCTCAGGAACAAAAGGGGGGCTTGTCTGATTCCTGTACCTTTGCTTTTGTTTGTTCCTACTTCTATACCCTCAATTTCTATCATCAGATGGAAGATCTTCCTCTTTGTCTCTCCTCCTCTCTGTATATCTGACTTTGTAATGAAAATAAAATAAATCTTAAAAAAAAAAAAAAACCCAAAAAACAGAAAGGGAAGGAGAGAGTAAGAGAGAGAGAGGGAGAGAGACAGAGAGAGAAAGTGGTGGAGAGAGAGAGAGAGATTGATTTCCAATGGCCAGGACTGGGCCAGGCAAAGCCAGAAGCCTAGAATTCCATCTGGGTCTCTCATGTGGGAACAGGCACTTGGGCCATCTTCACTGCTTTGCTAGGCTTGTCAGCAGGTTGTGGATCATCAGCAGAGCAGCTGGAACTTGCACTGATACCAGTATGGAATGCCAGCACTGAAGGTGGCAGCTTAATCCACTGTGTCAGATTGCAGGCCCCTTAAACTCTCTTTTTAATCTCCTTGTTTGACCTTGACCATTCCCAAAGCTGCATTGCTCATTCATTCATTCGTTTAGTAAAGGATTATTAAGTACTTGACTAGTGCCAAGTTACTATGCCAGCCCTTGTTATTCATTGGTGAATAAAACTGGCCAAATCCCTGCCTTCAAATAACTTACATTCTAGCAAGTAAAGACAGTTAAATAGGTAAGTTATATACTATGTGACATGAAAAAAAAGCACAGCAGAGTAAAAGGGTTGGGAATTTTGGTCAGGGTGTAGATTTCAACCCTAGTTCTTACCAAATCTGAGAGCCCTTTTCCAGATCACGTTGCTTTATTGCTTGTATCCTTCCATACTGATCCTCCAGAAAGGTTAGATTCCACCCACGCTGTGCCGTCTGCATATTCAGCAGTTTGACCTTAATGTACTTTTCTATATTCATGAACTCAAGAAATTTCCCATTGCTGTGGCCTAAACATAAACAAACCTGTCTGCCTGTCTTTGAGGCCCTCTACGGTCTGACCTGGCTCACCCCACTCCTGGACAGCAGTCATCCTTCTAGTAGGCTCTGTCTTACATGGTTCTTACCAGTGTGTGTATTTGCCAATGCTGCCTCAGGGGTGACTTACTCATGCATCTGGAATTAGTTCAGCAGGTAAACCCTGAGTTAGGACTGGGGACATGGAGATGAATTAATCTTTGGCTTTGAGATGGTCACAGGTCTGTGTGGAAAAAAGCGATTACAGGATGTTGTGCTAGGAGTTGTCTCAGGCTTGCTCTCCCTGCCCTGCGGCAGGGAAGGCGTCCAGGCAGATCAAGGGTAGAGCCCTGAAGGATGAGAATCCAGGGTGTCCCAGACCGTCGAGGAGGGGAAGGCACTCCAGACGAAGGTTTTCCCTCAACTCTAGTCTGTATCCCTTGAGAGCATTCTCCTTGGTTGCTTTCTATTCCCCATCTGCCTAGCAGAACATTCACCAGGTCCAGATGATCATAATTCTACATAAATCACTTGGAGCTTGGGGAGCAGTAATAAGAGGCTTGAGAGCTCCAGCGAGGCCAGTTTTTGGAGAGCTTGCCTGCTTGGGAGTAGAGTTTGGCGTGGTCCAGGCAGAAGTGATATTAGCAAGGTTGTGATTGAGGAAAACTTCCAAGGAAGGCACTTGTCCTCTGCCTTCTCCTCTACCTACGAAGGGTCTGCACAGTCTACTTCTGGTGGCATAGAAAGGCACAGAAGGTCTCAGGTGGACAAGAGAGACATGTGCTCTTGGCATTGACATTGTGTAAAGACACAATAACTCACACTGTTAGCTCAGGCATGGAGCAGGAACTTGTGTCTCTGCCAAGCTATGTGCTCTTACGTTGGTTCTTGCTAAATGTGAGCAGAAGTAGGGGCCACAAGTGAAAGTATGAATATGTGTGGGTGGGTATGTTCTAAACATTATGTTACTTATTTGAAAGGCAGAGATACAGAGAGATGGGGAGAGAGAGAGAGAGAGAGAGAGAGAGAGAGAATATTTTCGATTTGCTGGTTCATTCCCCAAAATGGCCTCAATGATCAGTACTGGGCCAGGCCAAAGACAGGAATCAGGAGCTTCTTTTGGTTCTTCCATGAGAGTAGCAGGGACCCAAACACTTGGACCATCTTCCACTGCTTTCCCAGGAACATTAGCAAGGAACTGGATTGGAAGCAGAGCTGCCGGGACTTAAACCAGCAGCAATTTGGAATGTTGGCATCACAGGTGGCTGCTTTTCTCACTGTCACATGCCAGTCCTGAGTGGAAATGTTTGACGGCAGTTATTAGAGGCAGGTTGAAGGACCTTATGTTACAAGCAAGAATTGGTTTATCTGAAAAACAAGGAAGAACTTTAGGTTTCCTGGCCTTTGAACATTATATTCTTGAGTAGATCAAAGATTGTAAAACTACTTTCTCATTCTAAAGACTAGAAATAAAAGAAGAGGTAGGGAGGGCCCTGCACGGTGGCCTAGTGGCTAAGGTTAAAGTCCTCACCTTGAACGGGCTGGCACTTCCCATCCAGCTCCCTGCTTGCGGCCTGGGAAAGCAGTCGAGGACGGCCCAAAACCTTGGGACCCTGCACCCATGTGGGAGACCCGGAAGAACTCCTGGCTTCTGGCTTCAGATTGGCTTAGCTCCAACCGTGGCGGTCACTTGGGGAGTGAATCATCAGACAGAAGATCTTCCTCTCTGTCTCTCCTCCTCTCTGTATATCCAACTTCCTAATAAGAATACATAAATCTTTAAAAAAAAAGAGAGAGAGAGAGAAAAGAGGTAGGGAAAGACAGATGCCTCTTCTGTGTAATGAACACCTATTATCTAATCTCTGTTTTGGCTTCTTTATCTGTAAAAAAGTAATAAAAGAATCTGGGTGGAATTGTTGTGCCAGCAGAAATAAGATGATCCACTATGATTACTTAGCATAAGCATGACACAAAGTAAATATTGCCCCAATGGCTATGTTTAAAAAATCATGGTTAGCAGAGGACTGGTCTGGTTGACGAGGTCATTTTGTGTTGTGGAACAGCATGTGGCAGAAAGCAGATGAACTCCTGAAAGCCACAAACTAGGAGGTGGGCACATCATTCCATTTAGGAGGCAAAGTTAGTGAAGAAGACCCAAGCTGGGAACTGAGATAGTAAAATTCAGGTAGGCAATGTCCGGTCTCTGAGCACCCAGGAGGAGGTGCCCAAGGCAGCACCTCCCTTAGGGCTGTAGGGGGGTGAAGAGGGTGGAGTAGGAATTGGGAAATTCAAGGGCAAGCTATCTTCTCCCTTGCCTCAGTGGTCCACGTCTATGTCTTCCAGGGGTAGATGTGATTAACGGGGCCCTGGAGTCGGTCCTGGCCTCCAGCAGCCGTGAACAATGGACCCCAAGTCATGTCAGCGTTGCCCCTGCTACTCTCACCATCTTGCACCAGCAGGTAAAGCCCCAGGATAGGAGAAGCCATGGCTGTGCCTGCCATGGAGGGAAGTCTGGGGGTGAGGAGAAAAGCAGCTGCTAAGACCTAGGCACCTCCGTGGAATGCACAGGGTCAGCGGGGAGAAGTGTCTCTCCCTTACCTGGCTTTCTCCTCCCTGCAGACAGAGGCAGTCCTGGGGGAGTGTCGGGTACGGTTCCTCTCTTTCCTGGCTGTGGGCCGAGATGTCCACACGTTTGCATTCATTATGGCTGCCGGCCCAGCCTCCTTCTGCTGCCACATGTTCTGGTGCGAGCCCAATGCTGCCAGCCTCTCAGAGGCCGTGCAGGCTGCGTGCATGGTAAGCAGGGCAGTGGTGAAGGGGTGGGCAGGAAGTAGCCCCACGGAGAGGGGCTGGCCTTAGTGACAGGCCCGCCACCTCTTTGCAGCTCCGCTACCAGAAGTGTCTGGATGCCCGCTCCCAGGCCTCCACCTCCTGCCTCCCTGCACCGCCCGCTGAGTCCGTGGCCCGGCGAGTGGGGTGGACTGTCCGCAGGGGCGTGCAGTCACTGTGGGGCTCCCTCAAGCCCAAGCGCCTGGGGGCTCATACCCCGTGAAAAAGCCCTTCTCCTCCCTCCACCTGTTTGTGCTGGGCCCCAGGGTACTCAGGGGCTTGGGGCAGGGAGAGGGCCCTGGAGGCTGTTCCTAGGCCTCCTCAGCTCCCACTCCCCTCCCCCATAGCTGCCTCTCCCTAGTAGCTGTGGTTCCCTGCCCTGGGGCTGGGGAGGGAAAGCCTTGTCCTTCTCCAGGAAGTGATCACACTGGATCAATGACAAGGGGAGCAGGAAGCAAGGCCGCCCGGGGCTCTCCATCCTGTATTGCAGACAGAGCAAGAGGAACTGGGTCGGCCAGGGCCCCATCCTCACAGGACCCAGCTGGGGCAGAAGGAGGAAGGGACTGGTCCAGGCATGGGTCCCCTCTCCCCTGCCCCCTTGGCACCTCCACTGTACTGATATCACTAATAAAGTCTGTCTGCACTGCTGTGTGTGTCTTCCCCAACCCGCACCTCACCATCACCCCACTGCTGACTCTCAGCCATGCTCTTGCTCCCAGCGTCTCCTGGCCCTGGCCTCTTGGGGCAGAATAAACCGAGGCAGTCACACAGGGATCTGGAGTCCCAGTCTCTTTATTTTAACAGCCCCGCAACATCAAGTAACAGGCAGCAGTGCAGAGTTCCACGCTGGACAGCAAACGGGCCTGGGGTGAGACCTCCAGTCTGGGATGCCCAGGGCATTGTCAGCTTAGGCCTGAGCTCCACGGCCATGAACCTTGGCAGCCCCAGGGCAACTGGATGGCAAGCAAGGGCAGAGCAAACTCTTCCTGCATCCAGCTAAACCAGCCCCAGCAGAAAGGGGCCTGTTATCCTGATGTGCTTGAGGCCCTGGATGGGTCTCCATGGCATGTCCTTGAAGGGTTGAATCTCATCCACACTGAGTTTTCGCTTCTTTCTGAAGATGTGAGCTTCCCGGCTTTGCGCTCTGGGACTCTTAGCAGAACAGAGGCCTTGACCACAGGCTCTGGACATCTGGGTTATGCCCATCGGGCACCAGGTGGCGGCATAGAGCTGGGCTGTCAGAGCGGGCGGAGAGCTGTGCGCACAGAGTGGCAAGGCGGCAGGGTGCGCCACAGGGCTCTGAGGGTGGGTGGCCCTTATGGTAGAGAAACCAGAAGGTCTGGAAGAGTCGTGTGTCACCCCGCATGCGGTATACCAGGTCGTGCCAGGCAGCAGGCAGCGCATTGGGCAGCCCATAGGTTTCTCGTGCACTATAGAGGCGTTTCCAGTGTGGCTTGGCTCCTGGTTCGTTTGCCTGGGTCAGGTTCAGGATGTAGGTCTCATGGTCCAGGACTACATGAGAGCTCCCTGAGTAGTTGCCATCTATTTGGTAGACTCGGTAACCTATAAGGAAAGGAGATAAAAGGCATTTCCAGATAGGGCCACGCCTCCTGCCCACCTTTTGTTGCCTTTATCTCTCACAGGCTCAGAATGCTTATCCCATCTACTCCAGGATGCGGGAGGCACCCTCACCCCTCCCCTCACTCACCAGGATTAAGGCCGATGTAGGTGGTGGCACTGGGTGCTAGGAAGGCCACGGAGAGCGGCCGGCTAAGGGTCTCTTCATCATAGAAGACCTCAAACTCATCCACATGAGTGTGGCCAAAGAACTGACCAGCTATCGTGTTCTCGTACCTGGCCAGAAAACAGCAGTTACAGTCAGCTGTGTCTGGGGAGGAGGAAGATTTTGGGGAGACCCAACACTCTTTCTCCAGTCTGTTGGAATAAGTAGCCTAGTGGGGGCGGCAGGGACGGCAAGGTGGCCAGGGAAGTCTCCATCTTTGACTTTCCGTCCCCTCACCCCTCCATTCCCGCTCTCACCTCTACTGCCTCCTACCTGGCTACAATTCTGTAATAATTCCAGCTCCAGCTTTTCAGACAGTGCCCTGGGGGAATATGGCCAATGATGTGCACCTGGGTGAGGGGAGAGTTAAGGCTATGTATCAGGGAAAAGCATTTGCAAAGATGACCACAGACTGGACCCCCAGGTTATGCTTTTGTTGGGCTCACTGGGAAAGCAGGGCTCCCTGCTCCCAGTGCTCCAGCTCCGCAGAAGTCGGCTTCTCCCCCACCCTGAGCAGCACCCACTCCATCACATCCCACTACTATCCCCTCACTTTGTCTCCTCGATCCTCAGCAGCCTGAAGCTCCCCCACGAGCCACTGGAGCTGTCCAGCGGGATCTGTGGAGTTGATCAAGAGCCAGAAGTTCTCACGGGAACAAAAATTCATATTGAGAGAGATGAGGCGGAGACCGGGGCGTGGGGAAAGGGCATAGAACCCCCCAATTCTGCAACAAAGGGAACATGAGGGATGTGAACATTTCTTCATAAATCTGGTCCTGGGTGCCCAGTTCTGTGCTAGTTTGGGTGGAGGGCAAGGCGGGGGGCACACATGACCTCGTCCCTACCCTGAAGAGCTCACACACTAACAGAAGATCCAACAACACTGGTGACAGGGCTGGTGGGCAGGAGGAAACAGCTCAGAGCTGAGGGTTCTAGGAGCTGGGAGAGGTAAGAACGAGCTGGAGCAGGAAGCAGAGTGATCTAGAAGCAGACGATCGGGACTTGAGCAGGGTGGGAAAACGTGGGGGAGAGGATAGTTGCAGAGTCAATGTGAGTCGAGACTCTGGCTGGGAAATGCAGAGCTATGAGTCCTTGGAAGGAGGGAAGCTGGAGAACAGGGTAGAAAGGGATGGGGGCATCACATTAGGGAGGGACAGAGCTGAGACCTTAAGCCAGAGATAACGGCTCGGTTTCTCCAACTCCCCAGTCCCCTTCCATCCACCCTTCTTCTGCTTTCCAGGGTTTTCATGGACCTTACGTACCTGAGGGTGCTGAGGGCTTCAGCAGGCAGCCAGGGTTCCCACGCCTTGGCCATCGCCTCGTAGAGCCAACGGGAGGAGTGGTTGCCCTCTATGAAGGGGGGTGGGAAGCCATTGACAGGTGTGCTCTCGTGGTTGCCTACAGCAGGGTATACGGGCACAGGTCCCAGGAACTTCTTGACAAGGGCCGTGACGGTGTTCAGGGCCCGCAGCTGGTCCTGACGTGACTGCTGCCAGACGTCATGGGCGGGGATGTCACCTGTCCAGTATGCCATCTCAAAAGGGCCAGCCGGGCCCACGCTGCTCAGCAGGCTCTCCAGGGTCCGCAGGGGCAGGTCACACTTGCTGTATTCACCCCAGTACCCGGCCCCTGGCTGAGAGGCAGGGGGTGGGCCGGAGCCCCTACGGCAGCACAATGGGTTCTCACAGTTGGGGTCTGTGCCCTCCAGATAGTCATGATCCCAGTGCAGGTCAGTGAGGAAGAGGACACGGCTGACCGGGGCCCCTGGGCTGGGAGGGTTGGGCGGCTTTGGGGGTGGCTTGGGCACTGCCGGCAAAGAGATGTTCCAGGAGGAGAATATGTCCCAGTGGCCGCAGGTGGGGCCCAGGAGCAAGCCACAGGCTTCGGAGGGGCTCAGCACCGAGCGTGTCCACACCTCCACCATGTCATCCTCGAAGAGGTGGACTGCCGACTGGCACACAGTGGGTGGTGCTATCTTCAACATGTTACACAGCTTAATGGCCACAGCGCCCACCCGGGCCACATTGGGCTCCTTCTGTGGAGGGAGGCAGGAGGGGTGAGGAGCTACAAACACAGCAGGGGCCAGGCCAACACTCCCTGAAACTCAGTGTCCTAAGAGGGGCTGGACCAATCAGTGCCTTCCCCCCGGTGGGGGGGATTCAGGCAGTGCCAGCCACAGCTTCCCTCCTTGGCATCTTTTTCAGGCAGGCCTCCACTTGGCCAGCTGGCTTACTTCTCAAGGGTAACCGCGAAATGGTGGTGGCAGGTAGGCAGGTGTCCCCAAGGGGAACAAACTCAGCAAAGGCTTGTAGGTGCCACTTGCTCCATCAGGGACGTGTTTGGACCCCGGGGGCACCTGCTTTTACCCCACCCCTCCAACTTTGCCTCCACTTCAGCCCCAGAAAGCACTCACCTTCAGCCCGAAGTTGAGGGCAGTGAACAGGCCTTTGCAGACAGGGCAGGTGAGGTTCCACCACCCCAGAGCATTCCGGAGCCGGGGCACTACGCGTTTGAACTGCGCAGGGTGGCTTTGGGCAGGAAGAGGGTGAGCCTGGGCCGGCGTCCCGACAAAGAGGGAGTCGGGTAGAGCGAGAGCCAAAGTCAGGCCCAGGCCCATCCAAAGCAGTCCCCGGTGGCGGTGGGAGGCCTCCCAAGACCTGACCGGCGGCGCTGGCTCTCGGCCGGATCTGCAGGGGCTTTGGCCAGGTGACACTCCGTGGCAGGGCATCGCCAGGGTTCCTAGACAGGTCTAGGTCGCCTGTCTGACCCTGGGCGGCCCTCAGGGCCCCCGGAGGCGCTGGGGACACCCGATCACCCTTCTAAGTCGGCTGATTGCTCAGCAGCCAGCCGCAAAGCAGCTCCGCCCCTTCCTCTTCCTCTTGTCAGCGACAGCAACAGCTGATCCCCGCGGCCGCCCAGAGTCCTGTCAAGTAGGTGGAGGCGGAGCGCAGGGCGCGCCCGGGACCGCCCCGAATCTCGCCCCTTGCGCGGTTAACCAGGGGCACCGCTTGGAGGCCACAGCCGCAGGAAACCGCAGCGGCCGCAGCGCTGGTGCTCCCGGGCTGGACCTGGTGTGGCTGATGGGAGCCCTCCCGAGGTCCCAGGCGCCTCTGCCCAGACCTGCGCACGCAGACACCTGCACCAGCTGTCAGGTGCAAAGCCGCACCAGGGTTCTCCTATGGTTCGTCTTCGATTTCTTTTCTGCAGAGTTACAGAAACAGGAGACAGAGAGACATATTCTATACATTGGTTCGCTCTTTAAATGACCTGGTTAATCGGAAGCCAGCAGCCTGGGGCTTCTTCCGGGTCTCCCACGTGGGTACAGGGGCCCAAGCACTTGAACCATCACCTGCTGCTTCCCCAGACACATTTGCAAGGAGCTGGATTGAAAGTGGAGCAGCCAAGACGTGGACCGGTGCCGTTATGGCACGCCGGTGCCGCAGGCAAAGACTTAAGCTAGTGCACCCGCAGCCTTACCTGAAGGTCCTAGAGGCAAAGGCTTACAGTACTGGCACCACAGCTTCGTCCAAGGTCCTGCCAGTGAGTGTGTCTCCTGGGGCCGGGCTCCTCTCCTCCATTCTGACATTCTGTCTCAGCCCATAGCCACACCCTGCAGTCACCTGGACTCTGAATCACCAATGACTCAAGATTCCCTAGACAGAAGGGAGCCTTAGGCTCATGTGGGGACCTGTTCTCCTCCTTTCCTTAGGAAACTATGGCTCGGGATGGTCAGGTGGCCCAGAAGCAGCAGAAATTCTGGAGCTACAGGGACCAGAAACACAGCTGGAAATTCAGTCCCCTACCAAGTGACTATAACAGTTCAAGAGCTAACCTTTATGATAAGTGTTTCTTACGATGGTCCAGGCACTAATCCAGTCACTTCATAATTACCATCTTCAATTCTTACAAATTCAACAAGTAGGTTTAACACTATTATTATGGGGGAAACGCGGCATGGGGAAGTTAAGAGGCAGAACAGCAATTGCAACGTAAGCTACTTGACTTCCACAAAGGTGTCCGATTTTTCCTGTAAGAGTTGCTTCCAGGTGATTCCCCCAGTCCCAGAGGTCTGAGAGCATCATCAAGAAGTTGGTTCCTGCTATGTAGGAAACAAAGATTGAATCCCTAGCCCTGGCTATGTCCTGGTCAGTCACAGATGTTCTGGGCATTTTGGGGAGTGAACCAGGGGCCAGAGCTCCATCTCTGCACCTCTAGCAAATAAATATAATGAGAAGACATGGTATTCATGCTCATCAGTATTATGCATTACTATTTAAGGTTAAGAGGTAGATGTTTTCCTAAGGGTTCTGTATTTCAGCCGTCACAACACACGTAGTAGGCAAGTGCAGTCATCTCTGTATCTTGAAGAATTTGGCCTCGGGACCCTAGGTATCTGTGAACACTCAAGTTCCACTCAGAAAATGGGGTAGTGCCATAGACTCCATGCACATCGCCTCCCTCTCACACGTGTACAAGCTGCAAATCCTCAGTACCTGCTGTGAGCTAAATGCCAGGTACGCAGTTGATACACTGTAGTGTTTGGGAAGCCAGGAAAAGCTCTGTGCGTGTTCAATACAGAGCCAGTTTAAGACTATCTCCAACTCAGAGACTCTATGATGGATTAGGTCAATCAGTGGATTCTTCAAAGACCTCATGGTGCTTGGAGTGGCAAGATTGGCAGCGATTCATAACTGTTGAAGTACCAAAACCACTTGAGCAACAACCTCAGAGCATACCCTACATCCGGGACTTGAGGAGGGTGGGAAATTGGGTGGGCCTTCTCCCTTAATACCGCCCTTTTAACATGAAGGAAACAATATGGAAAAACAATAGTCTTACCCACATATAAATAAATAAATAAATAAATAAAAGAACACAGAAATGAAAAAAAAAAAAAAAGACTATCTCCAACTCAGCTTAGTTGAATCCACGGATGTGGAGTGCTGGGATGTTTAAGACCCACTAGTATGATAATGTCCATTTTGCGGACGAGTAAAGTAGGCTGCAGTAGCCATGTCAAGATCCCATTGCTCCCTGGAGTTTGAAGGCAGCATCTAGCTCGACGCCTTCCCGTGTGGAGCTCCAGGAATGGTGCTGTGACAGTTAGACGAGCTAACAGGTAACTAGGGTCAGGTCTCTGTTAGAATGAGCAGAAGGGGCAATCTCCTTAAAAATGTGCAAGACGTTGCTTGCTTCTGCTCAGACCTGTCTGTGAAATAGCACCAATACTGAGTTTCTAGAATAGAATAGAAAAGAAGCTACCACTCCCACCCTCCTGATGGATTTTTGTTTTGTTGTGGCCAAGTCAGACAGGATTTTAATTCTGGGCGTTTGACAGGTTTTGTCCGCACCCTCTGATTGATTGTTAGCTGTAGTTTTATTTTTTTTCCCCTTAAAAGTCTCCTCTCGACCGTGTTTTTCAGATCTTCCCTTGGAGTTCCCACCATCCCTTGCTGCTGTGGCAGGAGGTTTCTGGCTTTAATAAACCTTGCTTTGCTAAATGATCATCTACATAGAAACTCTTCTTTCGTGTGAGACAAGAACCGAGGTCGTCTTTCTTTCTTCCATTTCCCCATAACAATATAAATTATCGCAAGCCAAAGACATTTCAGATTCACTAGGTATAAAAGAAACCTTCTTGAAGGTTCCTTTATCTGACAAAAAGCGGGAATCTCTACGCAATCAGGACTGTCTTAAGCTTCCTCTTTGGGGAGACTCCACCCCAGAAGAAAGACCCAGAGTAGGTGCACCTTACGTTTAACGCTAGAGGGGCGAGACTTCTCAGGTAGAGAAAAACACTGTCAAAGAATTGGACTTTTTAAAAGATTTATTTATTTTTATTGAAAAGTTAGATATACAGAGAGGAGGAAAGACAGAGAGGAAGATCTTCTGTCTACTGATTCACTCCCCAAGTGATAACAACAACCAGAGCTGAGCTAATCCAGAGCCAGGAGCTAGGAGCTTCTTCCAGGTCTCCCACGTGGGTGCAGGTTCCCAAGGCTTTGAGCCGTGCTTGACTGCTTTCCCAGGCCACAAGCAGGGAGCTGGATGGGAAGTGGGGCCACCGGGATTAGAACTGGTGTCGCGCCCACATGTCTTATCATCCAGCAATAAGAGGCAGACGCGAGTGAAGTCTTCTGCGGTAGTCTTTATTGCGCGCACCAAGATGAGGAAGAGGAAAGGGCTCCGACCCTGGCAGGCTGTCTGCTCTTATGTGCTGACTGGCCCCGCCTCCGCCGATGATAGGTCGGCATCATGATCACGCAGGGTCCTGGGCGACCGGATTTGTCAGTCCCCAGTGTTCATGCGCCAACCACGCCGCAGCTCACTGCGCATGCGCTAGGCACCTGCGCAGTACCGCAAAAGCTATGTGACTCTCCACCAAGCACCAAGGTGTGGCTTCTCCGGCCAGTGCCATTTTGGGTACGGCATGTGGCCAGTACATACGGATGCGGCTGGCAACAAACTGGCACCCATATGGGATCCCAGTGCATGCAAAGTGAGGACTTTAGCTGCTGGCTACTGCACTGGACCCTCTGCTGACTTTTACTGCCTCTGTTGTAGTAGTTAGTGGAAGAGGCATCAAGGGGTTACAATCTGCCTTTTTGTTTTTTTTTTTAAAGATTTATTTATTTTTATTGGAAAGGATCCCGATGTGTGCAAAGCGAGGACTTTAGCTGCTAGGCTACCATGCCGGGCGCTAGAATTAGATTTTCTTTCTCCTTTGTCCCAATCTTTTTTAAAGGAAGATTTATTTATTTGTATTTGAAAGACAAAGTTATGGAGAGAAAAGGAGAGACAAAGAGAGAGATTTTCTATCTGCTGGTTTATTCCCTAAGTGGCCGCAGCAGCTGGAGCTAAGCCATTCTGAAGTCAGAAGTCAGGTCTGCCACATGGATGTAGTGGCCCAAGCACGTGGGCCATCCTATGCTGCCTTCCCAGGCAGATTAGCAAGGAGCCAAATAAGAAGTGGAACAACTGGGATTTGAACTGGCACAGTATGGGCACTTGTAGGAGGACATTGTGACCCTGGAAGGTTGGCAAGCACAGGATTACAGCTCATTGGACAGTATTTGCATGACAACAACCAAATGGGTAGGGGAGATAATTTGTATAAGTTGAGTAAACAGCATGTAAATGAGAACACCTGGTGGAATATACAAAACAAAAGGAATTCCAATCAAGAGTATGGAAACAGTAGATGGGTTTTGTTGATGAGCTCAATACTTCCTTCCTTATCCCATAGGGACTCTCAGTGTATAAAGTCTGATGCCCCTAATAAACTTCGGCTTTGACCATCAGTCAGGGTCCACGCGTGTTATTATCGGCTCCGTGCACCAAGTCCGTCGCTGCGGGACGGCGACAGGCACTGAGCATAAAAGGCTATTGGGAACAGTTATTCCTCCAGGTAAATATGTGCTTCTTAGAATTATGTGCTTGCGTCTGTAACGTCTGAGTCTTCAACGTTTGGAATTTAGGCAGAAGTGAAAGGAGGAGGCGAGGAGTCATGCACAAAGCATGGAGTGTGAAGGTTTGATTGTTCTGTGGCATGATTTCTCCTTTCCCACTTCTCTGTTAGAAATTCCAAGTAGCATTATTTCTGCTTTATTTGTAATGCTCTGACTCTCTGCCCTTACTCATGCAAAATAACAGATAATTTTCGGGAACCAAATTCTACTTGTTATACCAGACCCTAACTCGTATCCCACGTCTTTCACAACAATTTTCCAGGCCCCTCCATGACCTCTCATTTCCCCTATCCTTTGTGACACAGCATTTTCACACATGTCATTGCTTTGATAGAACTACCACTTGCTGCATATC